AAATAAAATTGATGAAGGCTTAGATCTGGATCATTTGGTATTCCAAGCAGCAACTGATGCAGATCCAGCTGCGGTATGCAAGAGAGACATGCAGAAAAAATCTGCAAAGGCTTGGGCCAAGAGGAGAATACAAAAGTAGCCACAAGTAGCAGCAACCCATGAATACCTGGCACATTTATCTCGGCTACCCCACTGACTAAATAAACATTTTCTCCCTTTGCTCTTTGCCCACATAAAATAACAAGACATATTTTTTTTAAACTCAGTTAGACTACATAATGCCACCCAGACAAGATGAAGGCAGCTACAATAAGGGAATATCTGATGTGTTTTGTCAAATTCCTAAATTATAAGGCTAATAAATTAGAGTTTTTAAATCTGTGTAGAAGCTGGAACTTCAATATTGGTACAGGCTGATCTTACAAGTTGTTCCCTACAGAATAGATTAATAGGATGAAACCGAGTGAGGAAATAGAGAGCAAACGCCCACACTTATTTTATTTTTATTGAAAGTAAAAACCACCTGCACACATTTCTGCTCAAAGAAAAATAGTCAGTTTCATTTTTCTCTTCCAGATAGAAATACACTCTACAGAAATTGAACTGCTTCTTTTGTCTCCTGTCCTAGCAGAATTTGATTTGCATATTTTGGGACATGTTAAGGTGCTCTCTGTGATTTAGCGAGTTTCTAAAAAGGTAATTTGATCTCAACTCATAGTTTTCTCTTTTTTTATTTCTAAAATTGAAGGTTGCATACCCTTCTGAGAAGTGAGCCGTGAGAGGAAGGCATTAGCTTGCCTTGTATTAGATAATAAAAAAGTTCCACGGGGGACGAGTTACATATTATGACATTGTGAATATAAGGCTCATTTGGATTTAATTCATTACTACATCATGTTGCACAGGAAAGCAATTTTTAAGCAATAGAAGTGCACTTCATTTGTAAAGGACTCAGCTATAACACACAATCAGTTATTGAAGACAGAAACTGATTTCCCAAATCAGGCATATAAAATTTAATATATTTGCTCCAGTTATAATGAAAGAAAAGGGAACTTCAATGCCATTTTTCCCCCATGAGAATGACACTTTGAAAAATTTGGAAAGTGCATTTTTGCTTGGGGAGTTGACTACATTTTGATGCCACAATCCAGTAAGTTGAAGAAATTGATTAATACACAGAATATTATTAAAAACTGGAATATAGTAAATATTTAGCCCATTTTACACAGGAAAAAGAAAATTCTTTATCTTTTAAAACTACTTTTTTAGTACGCACTATGAGAATATAGATAAAATATGTTCAAAAATCAAAGGTCTGAAATATATATATATATATATATATATATGACTTGAATTTCAAATTTCAATAATATAGATTAACAACTAGAGAATACTGATGCTCCTAGATTAACAATGGAGTTACATCCAGATAAACTCAATGTATAGTTAAAATATTGTAAATAGAAAATGCATTTATTACACCTAACCTGCTGAGCATCATAGGTTAACTTAGCCTACATTAAACACACTAAGAACACTTAAATTAGCTTAAAGTTGAGCAAAATCATCTCGCTGTCACTGCCCAGGACCATGGAAGAGTACTGTGCTGTATATAGCTAGCCTGGAAAAGGCTAGCTATATATTCAAAATTTGAAGTATGCTTTCTACTGTATGCATGTTGCTTTTGCACCATCACAAAGACAAAAAGTTCTAAGTCAGCCCATTGTAAATTGGGGATCATGTGAACATTCTTTTAAAATAAATTATAGGGGAATCTTTCACCTTCCCCATGTGGGAATCTGTGTTTGTTTCTCAATAAATTTCCACCTTTGTTAAATAAATAAATAAATGAATAAATGAATAAATAAATAAATAAATAAATTCTTTGCTATATGAATAAATAAACAAACAAACAAATAAATAAATGATAATGTGTATGGAAATGAAGGTTTTATTGATAAGGTCGGTATTCTGGGTTTGTTCTATCCTGCGGTAAAGATTTACTGGGTGTCTGCATACCATCACTCAAGTATCACTAGTATGTCTGACTCATAGTCTTCTTTCTCTATTGCAAAGTAGACAGTGATTCATGACAACAAAAAGAGAGAAAACAAAATACTGAGAGTTGCAAGCTAAGAGTAAGAGAATTCAACTGGTGAGAAATCAGAGAGCATTATGAAGAAGTTAGCATCTGAACTAGGGCTCAAAGGATGCATAGTATCTGCACATGTCAAGATTGAGAAGGTCATTATATTCAAAGATCCTTCTATAATCAATTGTCATTCATCCTATTAATGATGCTACTATGGCTCTGACTAAATGCCTAAGGATTGAAAGGGTCTAACTTCTCATTAGTGAGTTGATTCAGTCAGTTGAGAGAATTAATGTCATTCTGCATAACACTGAGAAACCCTAAGTGAAGTAGTTGCTGTATCTAAAGTCTAGAGAGAAAAAAATACTATGCATAATTAAATAAATCATATCCTATGTATTTCTTTTGTGATTAAATTTATGCCAATATTCACTTCTATCTGGATAGATCAATAATTGAATAGATAAAAATTCCTTTAGGAACCATCACTCCATTACTGTTAAATTCATTCTGTTATCATTTGCATATATTGAATTATGTGCAGTTTTGCTATATATTTACATATTTTTCTACTATTAAAATACCAGTTGCTTCATTGTCCTCTTCACTTATCCCAACTTTTCTGCTATCAATCCCTTTATTACTGAAATCAAAGAGGAATAAGAAAACATGAAGGATAGAGAAGACAGAGATAAAAATAAATATTAATATATAAGTCAGAGGAGGAACAGAGAGATGGTGACAAAGAATAGCTGAAGACTGGAGAATAGTTGCCAATGGCATCACCATCATCAGGACTTACATCTGTACAAAAAAATAACAGCAAAAATATATTGCTGTGTTATGTGAGGAAAGAAAAATCACTTATTTAAATAAGTGTTTCTAGTGTTCTCATAATCATAAAACAGTCTATGGGTCTCCCATGAACTCCACAGTTCGATTTTCTTTAGGTTGGCTTTTCTCTCATTGAGACCAGAAAGAACATGCAATTGTCAGCTTTCTTGAACAGGAACTTCTACTCCTTGGTAAAAGAAGAATCATGATTCTAGAATAGAAGGAAGTAAACTTGAGTGATAGATGTGGAAAGGGAAGGATTAAAAGAATAAAGATGATGTGAGCACAGTATAGACAACGATTCTATAACAAGCGAATAAATCTAGTGTCTGAGTTCAAAGAACAGAGCAGAGAATCAATAGGACTGTTTACTTTCCTATGCCAAGGAATGTTAAACTAGGGCAGGTAAACAGAGATTTAATTAAATTTAGATAAAATTATTTTATTTCTAGGTAGATGAAACAGAGAATTCCTCATTTCAGGGGAGTAACTCAGTTTAAGAAAAATCATAACAAAATAGATGCTAACAAGTAGGGTTCTAAGATTTTGGGCTCTTTGGCAGAATAGGGTAGCCATTAATCCAACGATCTTGCTACTATTAGTTGGCTTGATGGGAATTTCCCCCTTACAGAGGGGAGAAATCCATCTCTGCAATTTAAATAAGACAAATTCCTATGATGGGATCCAGTATGGAGGTAACATAGCCATTATCAATACATTAAGGCAAGACAAGTCAAATGACAACTTAAAGAGAAAGAAGAGTTTTTGGAATTGCCTGAAAAATGGAACCCAATGTGTTTCAATAAAAATGTGCTCATTGGGCCGGGACCGGTTTGGCTCAGTGGATAGAACGTCGGCCTGCGGACTGAAAGGTCCCGGGTTTGATTCCGGTCAAGGGCATGTACCTTGGTTGCAGGCACATCCCCAGTAGGGGGTGTGCAAGAGGCAGCTGGTCGGTGTTTCTCTCTCATCGACGTTTCTAACTCTCTGTCCCTCTCAATTCCTCTCTGTGTAAAATCAATAAAATATATTTTTTTAAAAATGTGCTCATTGGGGCCAAAACCGGTTTGGCTCAGTGGATAGAGCATCAGCCTGTGGACTGAAAGGCCCAGGGTTTAATTCTGGTCAAGAGCATGTACCTTGGTTGCAGGCACATCCCCAGTAGGGGGTGTGCAAGAGGCAGCTAATCGATGATTTTCTCTCATCGATGTTTCTAACTCTCTATCCCCCTCTCTTCCTCTCTGTAAAAAAAAAAAAAAAAAAAAAAAAAAAAAAAAAAAAAAAAAAAAAAAAAATCAATAAAATATATTTATTTTTTTAAATATTTTTTTTATTGATTTTGTACAGAGGGGAAGGGAGAGAGATAGAGAGTTAGAAACATCGATGAGAGAGAGTCATCTACCAGCTGCCTCTTGCACACCCCCTACTGGGGATATGCCCGCAACCAAGGTACATGCCCTTGGCCGGAATCGAACCCGGTACCCTTCAGTCCCCAAGCCGACGCTCTATCCATTGAGCCAAACCGGTCTTGGCCAATAAAATATACTTAAAAAATTATTTTTTAAAAATGTGCTCATTGGAAAACTCAGGCATGTAGAAGACCAAATATGACCAGTGCTTGTCTTAAGCTCCTGACCATAAGAGGCAGTTACTTCTGCCCAAAAAGCAGGTTTATTTTATTCTGGGGTCATTAAAATTCAATCCTATGGCTAATGCCTTAGTTTTAATTACATGTACATCCAGCAGTCTTTGCATCTCAAGTTGGCATAACTGGACTTCCGAAGATGGAGAAAATGCACTGCCTCAAGTCTGTTAGTCTTCATAGTACTCATGGTTCTTATTATAAATTAATAAAGCAGCATCATTAATTTTATTACAATATCATAAATCTGAAAATGTAGACACACACACACACACACACACACACACACCCGTGAAGAATGTGCCAGTCAGTTATATCTCTCAGGTTACAAGGTTATTCTTACATCATGGCAAAATCACCTGTTCAGTATTCCCTGAAACATCTTTCCAGACAATGCCTCCCCACCAACATTCATTTCTTTTTTCCTACCTGAAAGTCTTCTTAATATCTTCTGCTTGGATTGTCTTGAGAATCTCTTGATATAACTGATGATCAAGTGTTCTTGAAGATGTAGCATTTGAAGGGCATTTTTTATGTGCATAATAGCCTATCAAAATTCCAAAGATAAACAAAATGATCGCTGTACAAAGTATTTTTACAAGGCGGCAAAAGGTGCAGCGGCTGCTCTTTGGTGCAGATCTAGTATAGCGGGTAGCATAGTCAGACTCTTCCTGAAGTCGCTGAAACCTGCCTTTGGGTGAAGTTGCTGGTTGAATGGAATCAAGATTGAGGTCTGCAGTCTCTGAAGTCTCCAGGTTCTGATTCTCAGCACTATCTAGGTGAAACTGGTCAAAACCTGGCTCCTCCAGTTCCTTTTCCATGTCCCACTCTAGGTCAAGGGCAGTGGCTTGAAGGTCATCATTGTCTAAGTACTGTGAATGTCCTGGAGCTCTTTGATCTGCATTGACCTTCTGATAGGCCATCTTCTTACCTGTGAAAACAAGAGATGTATTGCTTCTTAAAATAAACAATAAAGAAAAACCCCTGTGGTAAAAATAAAACAATCAACAGTATTATGTGTCCATAAAATTTTAGTGATTATGATCCACAGAAATGCATTGTCCCCATAGAAAAATCACATATAAATTAATTATATTTTCCTATTGATGGTACTGTAGGAAAAAAAGATTAAAAATAAAAGCATATGGTACTTGGTAGAAAAACTTATGAGAACACAAAATAAACACACACACACACACACACACACACATATACACACACACATAAATTAACCTTTGAAGCACAAGAAAATAACAATGCACAATGAAGGAAACATTTATGGTTACTCATTTTCAAAATCACTATTAAGAAAAAAACAATGGCATAAGCAATAAAACTGCTATTTGGTAGGTTAAGAGGAAAGAAAAGAAAAGACCCCTGAATGATTTACATTGACGAAGCTAATATTAAACGAAATTGTTCTGCATATATAGCAACTCTATAGAAATACAAGAGGCAAGGTACAGTACATTACATAATCATGAGTAATCAAAAGGATTAGAGAAATTTAAGGCTACCACAGAAGACCATGATATTGCATGGAGTTATCCAGTTAGTGACATGAATTGGCCTCACTGGTTGAAATTTAAATAAAAGTCTAGGACAGCACCTATCTCCACAAAAACAAACAAACAAAAACACCCTTTACTAGCCTAGGGGAGTTTGGTTTCATAAGCTTGCTACAGAAATGGCAGATGGAGGCTTTCCTCCCTACACAGTCTTGGATGACAGTGTGTAGTATCCTGCAGAGTGGTATTAGGATAACTAGGCTAATTAACTACAAGTGGTCTTCAGTCTGCATTCAGTAACCCACCTGTGTGTTAAGGTTGCAGATTAAGAGAATTTATAACAAAATTTTCTGTGTATTGGGTATGTCATCCCAGCTGGAATCTAGGATCCCTCACTGTGTTTTATGATTTTTTCTATGCACTCCACTGTGGACCAAGAACAGAGCTCACCTGACAACTGATTATCCAATTGCCTAATAGCCAGTGGTTGACAAATAAACTCTAATGAAAAAGATACAAACAAGGTCTTTACAAAAGGGGGTGGCATGATGAACAGAATTATGTATATACACAGCTCCATTCCTGGCTGGCAGGAGCTCATGAATTAAAATATCCCGAATGTTTAAAAATGTCCAAATATAATTAAATATTAAACTTGACAAAATAAACTTGACAAAAAATCCTGACAAGATTCTCAGCTACTACCCTATAAACCAGCATGTCAACTTATCTAGAGTTGAAGGAATAAAGATGAAAATCTAAGGTATGTCAGATCCTGGGACAGGTCCCTATTGCTCCAGAAAGAAGCCCTACACCCAGAGGAACAAAGACATAAACAAGTCAAAATATGCAAAATGGAAGGGAGAATCAGTGATGATTGATTCTACAGAGAATATGAGAAAGGATTTCCCAAGTGGCCTCTAAGGTACTTTTGACGAAAGAGAGGAGGGCATCCTGGCAGAAGGAAATCAATTCACATACAGAATAATGAGAATGCATAGTGTGTGGACCGCCTGAAAAATCCAGAGTAGTATGCTGTGGCTAAAGATGCAGCACACGAGCCAGACATTTAGAGAAAAGCTGGGAAGGTGATCTTGGGCAAAAAGTTTTACATCTTTGCAACACAGGGTTTTCCTTTGTGAAATGTGTGTGATAATAATATAAATCTCATAGATCTGTCATTAGAATTAATGAGACAGTGAACCTAACACATCCATTGAATGCTGCGTTGGTCAGAAGGGACATTTTTTAGTATTAGAGAAGGGAGGACTGTCAAGAATTGCTGGAAAGAAATAAAGTTAGTTCAACAATGTAGAAGAAATTATATAATTCTGTAAGACATTGTGGAAAAAAGGAAGAGTTCGCATAATATTCATGTACACACACACACACACACCCATACATATATAATCCTTACTAATAAAAGCCTAAATGATCGTCATGCTGTGATGCCTCCAAACTGTCACAAGATAACTGCTTGCACAAGTGGCACTCAGGTGGGCAGGGCTAGGCTTGATGTTGCTTGCCCTCACAGAGCCTGCCTGTGGGTCCTACCTCCTTCCAACTCCACATGCAAAGCCAGGAGAAGGTGGATCCCCTGGCTCTGCCTGTGAGGCCTGCCTGGGTGTCCCCGCTCCCACTGGCTCCACAAGGTGAGGCCTGCCTGGGGTTCTCCTGGCTCTGCACAATGAGGCCTGCCTGGGGGTCCTGGCTCTGTGCAGTGGGGCTACCACTCTGTGATAGGGCACAGGCCCGGCTGGGGAATCCCCACAACCATGCTGAGTGCACGATTTCAAGCCCTGGGCCTCTAGTAGTATATATGTTAATCTTAAATGTACTGCAGTTTTATAAAAACGTGAGATGGAAAAGGTGGTTGCAAATTTTTGAATATTCCACAATTCAACTTAGATATTTACCCATACATTAAAAATACTGTTATTTTCTAGCACTAATCATTTTTTTTTCCTTTTTTACTATTTGGCTTGAACATCAATAAATTCCTGTTATCTTGACATGATATTATGATATTTGCTTCTTTGATAGCTCAGTTCATGTATTATTGATTAATTTACTTAAACACAGTCCCACTGTGGCTTTCTAGATTTTTTTTCTCTAATTTTAATGACTCAAATATCTTCTTCTTAAAGCATTTTCAAAAATTGTAGCTAATGTTGAAGGAAGACATGACACATAGAAGTTACTACTAAAATGTGAGATCTCTAATTCTGACCTCTAATATGACTATTCAAAGTCCTTTCTCTACAAATCACTCAGACAACAACTGCAATGATGAGGCAGAGTTTTTATTTCTAGCCTGACAATAGGTATTCCATCACATGTACATCAGCAATTTAACGCTTTTCAAATATCAGACAGAGCCATCAATTAGAATGTAATGCAGATACAGATATTAACTCCTCATTATGATGGATATCGCCTGACATCCTTACTACCACTTTGAACTCATTATGCATTTATAAATTTTCACTGAATTCTATCTTCCAGGAGAGCAGCGTCTGGGTCAAAGGTGAATGGAGCCACTTAATGTAACAAAATCCAAGTATTTCAGAAAGACTACCGAGGAAATAAGTATGTGATAACATGTACAATAAACTATTTTAATTACTTATTAGTTTAAAAATTCATATCCACATTTGTTTCCAATCGTCTTGCTTTTAAGGAAAATAGAATAACTTTTGCAAAAATATAACATAAATCTCTGCCCTGACAGTTTTGTCTCAATAAATCAATCAACCCATCAAAAAATAAAACTGAGTGATAAGTTACTAAGCAAATAAAAACTTTGATGACATATTCAATTTTGAGTGAGAACAAATTATTCCATAGGTCCCACAAAGAATGTAACTTTCTTTAAAATACCTGTGTCCTGTGAGAATAGTAAAGTACATATCACATTTCTTTTACCAGAACATTTCTATTCCCAGCTGCAATGAAAATATTATAAAAAGAAATCTTTAGCAAAATCAGCATGTCTTAAATATATAGTATGCCATTTGACCATATATTTTCTATTACTGATGCACAAGATTCATTTAATTTATACTGGTCATAGTACTTTACAGCTACTCCACATAAGCAATTTAAAAAAAGATTTTAGAAACTACCCCATGAATCTTCTCTAAAAGACGAATACTTTGGCATAGGGCAGGTCATAGAAATGTGTGGCATTTCTTTAAATAGAAATATAACATCTTTATAGTCTATATTGTGCCACTGGTCTTTTCTATAAAGAGCAATTTTTAGGAAAAGTTGAATATATTCTCCATGTTTTCAGCACATCTTATTCATTTAGGTTGAATTCCTTCCCGCCCAGACCCATGCCAAGAGCTGAATTGTTTTTTTAAATTCAATAAACTAAACATTTATTTTTTATAGAAAATAGTTCCCCCTTACTTACAGAGGGTAGTTCCAAGACACCCAATGGATACCTGAAACCTCAGATAGTATAATACTGTATATATACTGTCTTCCTTCCTATGATAAAGTTTGATTTATACATTAGGCACTGGAAGAGGTTAACAACAATAACTAATGATAACATAGAATAATTATATATATATATATATATATATATATATATATATATATATATATATACACACACACACACATACACACACACACACACACTGTTATAGGAGATACTAGTGGCCCAGGTATTTTCCCCTTCTCTATGATAGAAGTGTCAGAGATGAAAGAAAATTATTAAAATGTATGTGAAAATCTTCCTCCTGTCCACCCATAAGCACCTCAAAATCACAGGAGACCCAGACCCAAACCCAGCCAGTCCCACCCTTGTCAAGCCTGCTGGGTGGGGGGCGCAGCCTCAGGTTCCCTGGCCTGGTGGTGGGTCTGAGGGTGTGGCCTGAGGTCCTCTGTCAAGCCCTGCTGGGTGATGGGAGGGCATGGCTTGAGGTCCCCCCATCAAGCCCCACAGGGACAGGTGGGATGCAACCTCAGGTCCCTGCTGATTGCTTGTTAAGGCTCCTTATGGAAACTTGGCCTTTGCTGTGGGTGCAGCCATCTTGTGTTATGGAAACTCCACCTCCGCTGTGGGCGCAGCCATCTTTGTGGTGGAATGACAGTCGATTTACATATTCCCTCTTTATTGCATAGTATGTGAATGTCATCTGTCTCTCAAAAATTTAATTTCTGACAAATTTTCCAAAACATTTCAACTCACAAATTTAGGGCCTTTTCCATCTTCACTAAGTACTTATCATGCACTGTGGTGATTATTTTTGCAGTTTTGAGGTGCAACAGGAAAACTAGCACATGTTTCTTCTTCCTTCTTCACAAGTCACAAACAGAAAATTCATTCTTAATGTAGATCTTAGCAACTTCAGCAGTTATAATTCTCTTTCCTTAAGTCAAGAACCTTCATGATTTTAATTAAAGGAAG